CTGTAGTGAGACAGGTTTGCATTATTTGGATTTTGAAGAGGTATCCTATGTATCCTTGAGTATGTACTTAAGAGAGATTTAATAAGTTATGTTCAGTGTAGCAGCTAAAGAGCAGCTAATTATGAAAAACATATTATTGTAGAACAAACAGGCATGCAACAAAAACATCTATTACATAAATTGTTAATCCATAAAAAAAAATATGTTCCTGAGACCATTGGTATTTATTTAATGTACAATTACTGTCTAATTTAATCTAAATTACATGCCTGCTTGAGACATGTAATTTGAAGTGTTACTGAGCTTCCTTCTCTGGTATTAAAAGCAAGAAACCAGCAGCTAATGCCTAGAGGCCAGTTCTCTACCATTTAAGTTCAGGTACCTCAGCACTAACATTCATAATTTCAGCCATTTGGAAAATGGTTTTCATAAGAGTGTATTTGGCATAAAAATCTCCCATTCTCCCTCCCTCAGGGGCACATCCTGCCAACTGAGTCAAACCTCTGACTTAATCCAAATGATGTTTTGATTGAATAAAAGGTCCTGAATTAAGACCTGAGAAGAAAATGTGTTTTCTTATCATAGGACACAAGCTTTGCAAAATGTTCTAGCTCCTGCCAGTGCTGGAAGGGTAAATTATCATTTGACTCCTGTATGGATATATTTATTTAGGACACGTAGCCTGATGACTCAGGAAGTTATGTAAAAACTGACCCAGTTAATTTTAGATGCTATTGTTGGAAGAATATCAATGAAAATTAATCAAATAATCACGAAAGAACCACAGGGAAGGAGCGGAGAACACTGGTGGGTAGACTTTTGGCAGTGAACATTGCAACAGTTTTAATGACAGAAAAACACATTCTCGAGTAAATTAAAGAGTAATGACATGATTAAATGGTAAATAATAGTTAAATACATGCTTGGAGGTCCAGAACAGAGACTGTGGAGTTTTTGTTTTGCATGTATTCCTCTCCAGGCTTTTCTGAGTAGCCAGAGGAGCTCACCAAAACTCTGCCTGTAATTTAGGGTCAGAGTGTAGCTTTTAAGACACTGAAGCTGAAAGAGCTGTTGGGGCCCCGCTGCTGAGACTGAGAAAGCTGAGGCTTTCTCCATAACTCCAAAGCTTCACCAACCTTTCTGCTGTTGACGTGTCCTTGTTCCTCCACCAGCCGCCTCCCCCGAGCAAGGGCCAGCGGCATGGCTCTTCTCTCCTCACTGCACTGCCACCCAAAAACTGACTGTGCAGGAGACATCTGCTCTCCTTATGCACAGCGGGGGAGAGAGAGGGGGTCTGTCTCCTGCTGAGGCAGGTTTAGTCCCCACTGACTGGGCTTTTGCACGTTTGCTGGCGAGCAAACTGAAGTTGCATATATGGTTGTTTATGCAAACAAGGAGTGCTTTGGTGCTGGCTGGGAGTGTACCCCGTCCATATGGTTCCTTTCCCTGTCTGCTGTGGAAAGGATGTGAAAAGAATAACATTCACAAGTTGTCTTCATTCTCAAATATTTCTTTCTCAAAATGGGAGGCTGTACATACAAACTTTGACTTGTTGGCTTTACCGTGTCTAGCTGTAATACAAAACACAGTTGTGTGATGAGTCCACTGGAGGGGAACTGGCCTGATTCAGAAGCCCTTTACCTGCTTTCTGTTTGCCATTTTCCATTTCAGGTTGTCAGACTAAGGATACTTCAAAATGAAAATAGAAAACTGAAATAACTCAGGGTTCTCTTTTTATAGGCTTTAACATTTTCTTGGTTTTTCAGAAAGTCCAGATAGAATATAGTTGCTCCAGCAACTTTGGCCAAATGAGGCAGAAGCTTCACCTATGTCATTCCTCACTGTTTGGCAGAACTAGAAGGAGCACATGGGGAGTTTATCCGTTACAAAATTTAAAAAAAAAAAAAAAAAAAAAAAAAAAGCAGGGGTCTTAGTGCTATACTGGGTCAGTCCACTGAAAGCTGAATTACTTGCTTAGGTGGTAGTTCAAGTGATCAACACACTGTGTCCTTCAATAACAGCCTGGCAGCTTGCTCATTAGTATAATACAGTAATAGTTTTCTCTTTCTGCCTTCCTATAATATAATTTTTTCTTACAAAAGGCTGAATACTGTATCTCTTCCACGAATAGTACTGGAGAAGGGGAAAGTGTACAATTAAAGCGTATATGTTATGTCTTTGTTTTAAAGTTCGTATTTTTACTTCAAAGGTCACAGATACATTGTGTATTTCTCCAATACATATTCACGGTTTATGATGGTTTCCATTTGAATATAGTCTCTTTTGCTTAGATGTAAAAAAACACAGGTTTTTTGTCAGGAAAATGTAAACCAATCAAAGGTTTATCATTGTCCTTACTAGGACCGTAACAAACAAATATTAAGTGCTTTTGCAAATTCTTCCCTGGATGTGTAAATATAGATTCTGTGAAGGAAATGGGTACTTTTAACATTTAAATTACAGGAATTATGAAAATAATAGTTGGCACAAAACCATGCTTACAATTACCTGGCACACTGCATGAGCCTAATTTTAAAAAATTTGCTACTCCTCTGAAGTAAAAATTCATGAGAGCATCAAAGAGACTTGCGAAATACCGCTGTATGTGTAATCTTTTCTCACTTATTGATTGAAATGACTGAATTTTTAAATAATATTTCTTTTTTTGTTATTAATATGTAACATTTTTACTCATGTTTATGGACACAAATAATTGTGGATACTGCCAGGGCCATTTCAAGCCCTGATTAATAGATAGATGCCGTTGAGTCATGCACTCAGACTCTAAATGGTCCAAAGACACCTGCAGCCTCAAAGAAGCGATGCCTATTTAAGGCTGGACTGAAAATCAGGCACTCATGTTTAAATATGACTTCCCATTTTATAGCTGAACTTTTCCTGTTTTTATAAAATGCCACTATCTATAACTGTTATGCACCACTGCAAAAGCATACAGTTTTAGAATATGGCATATTCAACCTGAAAACATCTTTTAAAGCCAGCATCACAGCTGGCACCTTTGTCAGCAGGCACAGTAGAAGGGCCAAGAACTGCTGCCAATTTCTAGAAATTCACATGAGTTGGAAGATCGGGACTCAAAATGCTGTCTGACTCCTTTCTCACCTTAGAGTTGGTCAGTGGAGTGCCAAATATGTGCTTCATCTCCTTATATCAGGGGAGATGACTGATTCTTTTCATGGTGCTTGTTACCAGTTTCTTCTTGTTTTTCTTAATTGCTTGGCATGAATTACAGCCCATCTTAAAATCATTACTTGAGTGGGATTCCTTTCTTTCCATTTTGTTACTTCTGCACTCCAGGGCATTTCCTTGAGGAAGTTAACATCTTTCCTAGGTTGCTGCAGTGACACAGGATCCAAGTTTCTTTGTTAAGAATTTCTCTAACTCATTTGGTCGCCGGGAATGTTGGGACTGTTGGCTAAAGTTATTTCCTCCCTTTCCAGCAAGTCACCTTTACTTTCTTGGGGTAATTATACTGAAGAAAAGCTCCCACCGTGTTGATTTGGTTTTGCAATGCTTTATCTTGTTACCACGTTCTCTGTTGGGAAAGATGCTTTCTATAGGGCTCATTTCATGCATCCTGACTCAGCCAGGGATTATTATTACAACATTGATACTAGGAAAATCAATAGGAAACCAAGCAGAAAAGCTAACATTGTAACAATGTCTATGAGTTATATTATGTATTGTTGCCTAAAAGAAGAAAAAGACTTTGAGACAGTCTTTACGTTTATTGCCACACATACCTCAGAAAATTACGATGTGGCAGTAGCAACATTTGCGGCCATACAAAATTTTCAAAATGTGCAGGGGAAGCATGGTAGAGCTTTCCCTTCTTCACAGAAGCTGTATAACTTGAAGGATAATATTGTCTTAAAAGTGCTGTTGGACTTCTCAGACCCAAAGGGTGAGTTGTAGATGTGAGGAGTCTATGCCTGTTCATTCTTCTTCATTTCCTTTAAATGCTGTATTTACGACTCACTTTGCACTGTTTGCACTCTTTGCTTATGAATCCAAAAATCGCATGTGTAACATGCAGACAGAAATAAATCCTGTAGGTAAAAGAAAGTAGAAATTGGCTAAAGATCAAAGGTTAACCTCATTCCACTCCTTCCTTCGCTTTTATTATCCTGTCTAAATTTGGTCCTTTGTAGAGTGAATTGGGTGGGGGTTTTTTTCATGAGGAAAGGCTGAGCTTAAATGAGAGTTTAAGATTTTATTTGTTTTTCAACCCTGTATGTAATTTGAACCACAGTGTAGTTACTTTGCTAGAAGCTACACTGCAGTTCTTAAAGAGTACAGAAGATTGTGGAGTGGCTTAAGGAAACAATATTTCACCTCAAGTGTTCAAGTGTTCTGTGATCATCTATAGATTAAGTGGCCAATAGATTTTTTTTTTTTTTTGGCTGCACAGCTAAACCAAATCTGGTATAAATAAAGTCTGTATTCTAAAAACAGTTGGGTATGTGCTTAACATAGTCCTGACATGTAAATTAAACTAGTTGTGTGATTACTTGTTTGCCAGATCAAGCCTTAAGTCTGTGTCTTGGAAAATTTCTCTACAATATTTGCTTTTCATTTCTGTGTTTTTTTAATTTTTGATGACCTTCTTCACTAGCACATAACAAAAAGATGTTGATTTTCCTGTCTTTATAGAGACCCAGGCTTTAGCAGGTACCTTCTAAATGCTTTATTTAAGGCTATGAAATGTACTGGAATGAGTAGTGATGACCATCAGCAGAGCAACTAGAACAGACCAAGTGAAAAAGTTAAGAACAAAATGTGATGGGTATTTAACTTCAATGGTTTCAAAGCTTTACTTATCAATACTAACTTAAAGGGATTAATCAAAAGCAATAGCTGTCCTAGGAAACTACCACAAAACTTCTCTCCCAAATCTTCTCTCCAAATTAACATTTTTTCATGCAATTTAATTATAGTATTATAGTTTAACTATAAATGATATTTGTCATATTGATGCCATGAGTGACCAGGGTTATGTCAGATCACTAAAGAACATGGGTGTGTGTTACATTGATGTACAATCAGGAGGGGAATCCAGGGTGATAATGGTTAATGATGGTAAGAAGAGAGAGAGCCTCACAATTCAACTTATCTCCAGCTATTAGGGATCAGCATGAGGTCCATTATCTCACATCTGCCTCATACAAAATTCCATATACCTAACTCCAAAGCATCTGGTGTGGGCCATAGTCAGAAACAGGATACTGGACTAAATATATCCCATGCTCCCTGTGCAATATGCATGAGCTTTCTACATTCTCATGCAGCAGATGTGAAATATGCCAGTTATATCTGTTCTGCTTTAATTATTTTCACTGTTGTATTTGAATACTAGGTTTTGGTCACCTAACCAAGCAACTGCTGAAGCTAGCAGATGGCCGTGTTGTGCTGGCACTGGAGGGAGGACATGACCTTACTGCCATCTGTGATGCATCTGAAGCCTGTATAAACGCCCTGTTAGGAAATGAGGTAAAATATAAATCATAGTAGGTGGAGAGAATGATCCAAGTTTGCTGAAACTCCTATCTTTGATTTTCTTTTAATAACAATGGCATCAGTCTTTTTTTCATTTTGTATAAAAACCATGCAATTTCAACATGTCTTAGAAATGAGCAGACCTCAGATGAGCTGGTTTGGACTTCTAAATTAGATGATTAAACAAATCCTTTAGTGTTTGCCTAAATTATTCACAGTTCTGAGTAAGATTTAATACCTCAAAATTGCATTTGGTGACGTGTTGAATACCAGACTTAACATCATTGGTAGTCACTGATGTGCATATCATCTATCAGGATCTGACTTTCAAGACAACTATCATGTAACAAAAATGGCTTTTACAAGGAATCTGTTACTCTTAGGAGCTGGATATTGCAAAGGCACATTTTTTGCGGTATTTTGAGACTTCAACTGGCATGTGAAAGAACATATTTCAGAGGCTTTTGAAATTAAATAACATTAATAAAAATATGTCCAAGACTTAAAAAATGGGGTTTTTTAAGTTGTAAATGAAGATTCATGTTGATCTGTGTGTAATTTAAATGGACCATCCAAGATTTATCAAATACTGTACATGTTATTTAAAAAATTGTTGAGAGTGGACTGTCAGACAAAGTAAATATGAGTACATGCTATTTCTGTACACAAACACAAGATAAGCATTCATGTTGGTGGAAATTGTTCTGTTGTCTGCTAGAAAGTATCTTCCCTTCCATTTCAAGACTTAATACCTATGTTAATAATGTGAAGCAACATGCCATAGAAGGATTTTCTACATTTTCTTTTAAACCTTTGCTTTTCATCTTTGTGACCCATCAGAAAAAAGATCTTTATGCCTATTATTTTTTACATTATACATGCAAAGAACAAAGTGTTAGCTTTTTCAAAAATATTCTCAGAAATCTAGAAAAATAGACATGTCCACAAAAAAAAAAGAAATCTCATTGATATTCTCTGTCATCATCTTCCCTGTGGTGGTATCTTATGTCATCAGTCACTTTTCATAGCCCTTCTAAATCCATTTACGAAAACTGCCTTGTTTTTTTTTAACACTATATCACACCCAACTATTTCTGCTGTCACTGACTAGCCATTATCCGAGGAAATATACCAATTGTGAGAAAAAGGAATGAGATAAGTGCACTGGAACAGAGACTTTCTTCCATGTTGTTTTAGAGTACTTCGAGACTGCAAAATTAGATAAATTGTGAGCCTATCTGTTTGCAATATATAGCAAACCAAATGTCAGGAGAGACAAAAATTCAATAACTGAGAATGAAGACAAACATAACCATGCAGCCATTTTTAATCACTTGTAAAAGAACATGGTCATTAATAACTTGAAACATCTCATGCAATAAGCATTATTTCCATGTGCTCTTACTCACAACGTTGTCTTCAGGGACATGCATTAAATAGCCTGATGCAGCAGAATTTCAATGAGAAAATATGTTGTGGCTACAAAGGATGTTGTTACTGACACCACCACAAGAAACTGATGTTGGCTCAAAAGAATAAGTAAAGGTGTTGCCGAGGAGCAGACACTAATGAGGAAGTCTGATACCTAGTTAGCAGTTAGCAATGAGCACATCTGTTGACATCTATAGATTTATGGCAATCTACACCACATGGCCAGTAGCTTATACATTGCTTGATTTCAGCATAATATTCATGAACTTGTACAGCAAACCCCAAGCATGTTCCTGCCAAGGCCATTAAAAAAATATTTTTCTTTAAACAAACAATTATTGTAATTTGAGGATGTATTCTTCCTTGAGTGCAATTCTTTACAGGTGATTAATAGGATAATTATAAGTTATTATCTGCCCTTCACTTTTACAAATAAAAGTAGTGCAACCCCAGTTTAAAAACATTGGCAAGATGAACTTCAGTTTCTAAACACTACACATGTAATTGAACTTAAATTAGAAAGGTTGGGAAAGGCCTTTATAAGGTACTCTGCAGTTTGTCAGATGTATTTATTCATGTGCTGAGGATTAGAATTTATAAACATTTTGCAGGGTTTTTTGAGAACTTTTTATTTTCTTTTGTTGTTTTTGGCCAGGACTTGTCAATACAGAAATTCACTGCTTCATGTGTTCTATTACCAGAAGAATAACATTTTAAAAAAAGAGTAACTGTAAAACTAGCCACCACTTCCAACTTTCATGGAGAGCTGGTCTGATAGGTAGAGGTAACATCAAACTTACAAGTGAAAAATGCTTTCTTTTCTTAAGTTTTCTCTGAAAACCAAGAAGGAAAACAAGTTAACATCCAAAATAGATGTATTTTGCTCTTAGTTATATGTGGCCCATAGCACAGTGATCTGTTTAGCAAGATAACTTTTTACTCTTCTCTTAATCAATGCAAGTGGAGCCACTAGGAAAAGAATACACTATCAAGTTAATCTTTTTTAAATAATTTGAGCATGGCACAGGAAATTCCTGCATACATTTGTTGATTTTGAAGACTAACCAAAAAAACTATTAAAAAGGTCTCTTTTTCTTGGAAGAGTTCTGATTTTAAATGAGCTACCAGCCCCATCTATGTGTGGTCAAGACTTCTGAACTTCTCTGCAGAAGTACTTTTGAACAATAATTTCAAATTTTGACAGAAACACAAATAGGATTATAATTGTCAGTTTTCTCTGTTTGGAGGTACTTTTATTGTTAATTGTTTCTTTCTAAGACCCAGTTCCCTAAACAAAGTTGCCTAAAGCCTTTTTAGGTACTGTGGGGTCTCTGGGACATCAGCATAGGACTGGTAGATCTAATGCAGAACTTAGAGGAGATCCACACCCTTTCTGAGCAGCAACTGGAAATCAGGCAAGACACCCTATAGCATCTGAAATGTCTCTATCTGGTTTGGTTATGTGAATCCCTCATTAAATGATAAGAAAACTAAAAAGGAAATTATAGAAGTAAAGGTAAGGATAAATTTTATGAAGATAAAATTGTTAATTAGAAGGTTTACATATAAAATTACTTTTAAAAAAAAGTTCTCACGATCTCAAGTTTTCTTGTCCTTGTTTCTGTGTACAAGCAGAAAATTTCCATGTCACTTTGAGAAAAATCTATTTGACCATTTGCAGAGCTACTTAGGAGCACTGCAGGTTATCTCCTTGGAAGGAAATCTTCCTAAAAGGTGAGAAGAGATTAAGCAGCTGGATTCCCTTGAAATCCAAAATGAAAACATGGAAATCCTTCTGGAAGGTAAAAAGGCAGGATGAACATCAGTTGCTTTAAAATATCCCTGAATTTTCTCATCATGATTTGAGAACTTGTCCATTAAAAGAGCATCTGTCAAAACAAAGGAAATGATGGATTCAGATAATTAGAAAAGAGATGTTGCTTTTAAACCTATGCAATTCAGAGATGAAGATATACTTTTGTGCTTAAAATTCTATTTTTTCATTTATTTTGATGTTCTTTAAATTATTCTACAGTTTTTCACATAGTGGTTGGATAGTTTCAAATACTTATTTTTAAAGCACACAGAAATACATGTTAACTCAACTAAGAAAACCATTAAATGTTAAGATTTGTATGTTATTCCAAGAAGTGTGCAAAAATTGTGTTGAATAATGAGATTTTTCCCCAAAATCTTTGTCATGGAGAATGGAAATTCCATTCTACTTTGTCCATCCTAGCTTCAGTGAAAGAAAAACCTTCTATGCTATGCCTTTCGGTGCCAGGTGGTGGTCAGTAAGGCTGCTCTATATGTGAAAGGATGGTTTATGGTTTCTTTCCTCCACATTACTTTTGAAGAGGCACTACTTAGATTTGAAAAGCCCTCTGGGATAAGCTTTCCTGAGTTCAGTATCCTAAATCCTACAGCTTATTTCCAACATAACTGCATTCAGTTGGGGTTTCTTCTGCAGCCAGAGAGAATAAGGAAGGATTCCTTCAAGAAAAAGACTTTTTGAGTCAAAACCTAAGGATCTAGGTCCCCCCTCATCCCATCCCTTTTCAAGCAGCTAGGTGGAATATTTCCATGGGACCTAGAAGTCTGTCTAACGTCATGGTCCCTCTGATCTGTCTACAGGTTTGGGCAATGTCTTTTAGCTCTATGTGGTACAGCAGTCTCCCGCGATCTGTAACAAGTGATAATTAGTCGCAGATGGGGTCATGCTCTTCTTTGCATAGAGGAAACAGAGAAGTGTGGTCCACAGTGTGCTCTGCCCAGCAGGACCCTGCAACAAAAGCACACAGAGGATGCATGTCTGCTCTCATTGACTGTGACGGCCAAGGCTGAATTTGGCCCTAAGTGCAAAAACATTTATAAGTGACTAAATTTAACATCTTCTAGTAAATATTCTTCTGGCTTGAATTTCAGTCTGAAGCAGAATTTGACAAAACATTGTGATTGGTTGGCTCCCAAGCATGCTTGAAAACTTATACTGTACAATTTTCTTGCAGAGTGTGAATTATGTGCTTCTTTCTTGCAATCTGTTGAGCTGGCATTTAGGAGGAGATGGTAATTTAAGTGGAAAGCTCATACTCTGCAGCTTTCTTGCTGATGATGAAAAGTTGGCACTTTCTCCTTTGTGGAATTCAGTGTGAATCTGGGGCTGCTTGCCAGATAGGCAGTGAGCTCTGCCAAGAGAGCCTGGGCTGCGTTAAAAGGGGTTATTTGCCAGAACAGGTAAGCATTTCTCTCTCCAAAATGGAAATATTAATGGAAGTGAATATGGCCTGAGATCAATTTTAAATTGCATGGTAAACTTGGTCACAATCTCACATCCGCATTGTTAATCTGAGTCTAATACTAGAAAATAATTAACACTGAGTCTAAGACACCTGTCAACTGCTGCTTACATAAACCCAGAGTCCAGAAATTGGGCCAGAAACAGAATTAGATGGAGCAGGAAACTGGAGCAACATATATGCCAGAGGTCAGCATGGTGACATCAAAGTCCACAATGTGGGCAGTGCTAGTCAGGAAGTGGTTTGGCCAAGGAAACAGAGAATATTCTGATTCCAAAGTTATATATTTCCAAGACACCTCTTGGTTTTTGGGAACTAGTAGGTGCTAATGACCCTTTGTGCCTTTGAATCTATTCCCTACTGAAAACTGACTCCTTCAGGTGCCACACTGTAACAGTGGATCACAAAAATACCTGCCTAAAGTGCTTATATATAAACAGAAAGTGCATAAACTTTGAGAAGGTTGCTAATATGAGAAAACAGAGGACCTGTGATAGCTTTGAACTTAGTCATCTGTAGTCATAGGCAACTCTAACAGCAACAAAGCCCAATCTTGGTGCTGATATGCTTCTTGCAGAGTTTATCCAGGAAAGGGTGGTTGTAGTGCTTCCTCCTGCAGCCTAGGAATCCCTGAGGAACCTGTCTGCCTTCTCGCCTTCCTCTGCTTCTGTCAGGACTCTCCATGCTCCTTACCTCATGCTTGCAATTGCTTCACTTTTCAGTAATCTCTAACTGCACTCTGCAACAATATTCACTGAAGTTAATCTTGGTGCTTTAATACATAACATTGCTAAGGACAGTACAGATATTGCTCAATTTTATAGATTTTCTAGCTCAGTACAGACTGCTGTAGTTTCAGATTCTCTCCACATTCCCAAGGATCATTTCAGATCACCTTCTGGGCACATGAAATTTCCATTGTTAATTCCTTCTTCAAACATTTGTTGATATGCTTCTGGCAGACTTTGGCAACCCAAGTGATTTTTGCCCATTTACATTGTTTTTCCTACTTTAAAAATGATTAGTGGACACAGTTTTGACTTTCATCTGCTACTTTGAGCATAAAAGCCCAATTCAGCCATGTAAAAACTTTGAAAATGTGACCCTTTGTGTCTGGTCCAAACTGTCTCTCCAGTGGTTTGGTTATTTCTGTGCTGTCATGAGCTGTTCTTCTCTGAACGATTTCTTTTCTATCTGTTCTTTTCAGCTTCCTTTCTATTAGCCTCCAGATTCAGTAGACTTCATGAACTGAATGCCAATAAGTGTAGGAGGGAAGGTGATGGTGCCATATATGCGAGGTGGAGAGTGATTTCTTTTGTTCACTGTTGGGTCTAACTGCTGATATTTTCCAGGGACACCTCTACGTCTATATAGTTGTATCCAACCAGGGGATAGCTGCCAACAGAAACCATTCTTTCAAATGCAGACAACCTCATTTCAGAGTGTATAGAAACAGCTTCTATAACCCACTGGCTTTATTTCTGCGGTGTTTTAGTAATAGTACTGCATTTGGTCTGAATAGGGTATATGATGTAATGAACTTACTTCTGGAGCCTGATAAGGTTTCCCTGCTACGGGAGGTGAATCAAGCTCTGCCTGGCTATCCCTAAGGGTGAGGAGGCAGAACAGCTTCAAAGCAGAAGCTGAACTTGGTATACAACATTAATGTTTTGTGGAAAAAATTGTTAAGGAAATGATAAATGATCAAGCATGACTATTATATTCACATCACATGCAGATCCATTAGTAGAGCTAACAGAGTAATTATTGGGATAATATAGAGTAATAAATTAGATAATTGTTGGATGTTTGACCCTTTTACTTTTCTTTAATGATTCATCAGCTTACCCTGATTTCTAAAAACACATCTGTAACTTCTAAATATTCATCTTATATGTCTAGATATTCAGATGCAGCCTAGTTGTTAAAAAAATTATTTCTGCACTGAGAAATATAGAGGTGTCATTGATATATTAGAAAAAATCAAGACCTTTTTTTGCTTCTGCAAAAATCCAGCTCTGAAGAATCAACAAAATATTCACCTTTTAATAGGAAATCTCCTCTAACTATCTCTACACCTGTTGCTCTCAGTTCAATAATTTGTACAATAGGTCTGCAGAAAGACCCTCAAGGTACTCAAAGGGCAAAGCAAGACACAGCTCACATCTTGCAGTCTGGCAATTCCATACCTTGCACTATTATTCCTACTGTTATGGCCTGGAACTATTTTGTCCTACTTCAGGGGAGTGAATTGGTCATCAAAACCTTAGGAATTAGGTAATTGTCAAAAGAGAACCTTAAGCTCCTGGTTTTTTCCCTTTCTGTGTTCCTGTACCCAGTACAACCAAACAGAACTTCAATATTTTGTCCTCTTCCTGGCCAGATGATAGATTACTTTAAACAAAAAATAAGAAGTTATAAAGGAAAGTGCCTTTTACCTACATAACCCAAGGCATGGATTATTAAGATTATTGTATGGATTACTGTTCTAAAATCTGTGAAGCTTGATCTGTTGATGGGCATTTTCATAAATGTGTAGTTTTCCCCCAGGTACCTGCAAGAGTTACCAAACAGAGTAACCAATGAAGATCGTGAAGTAAATGTGTTTTAAAAACTGCAAATATATCTGTAAATATTATTTTTGTTGTAATTACTCTCTTTGTTCTAATCTGTGATACATCTTAGATAGCAACAATCTCTCTTTGCAGTTTGGCCTCTGCGGTAATGAAGCAGACTTTGGACCCAGTCAGGTCCTACCAGCACTTCTCTGCACGCTTGCTCACTGCGCAGAAAGGAATGATTTATGCTATTTGAAAACAAAACATAGTGCTATTGTTTCTAGCCACAAGGAAATCTTCCAGCTGCAATCCCATATGGGATTCTAAGCAAATAATGACATGAACAGCCCTATTAATTTTCGTTACCGAGATGCCAAAAGACTGGTGATATTTGCGATGTCTTTATCACTGACAGGCATTCACTGCTGATCATAATGGTAGGATCCCAGAAGTTCTGGGATTTGTAGCTGAGGTTGCTTAAAATAGCACTGCTAAGGGAGTATCTACACTGCAGTTACTTCCCACTTCGTGTACTTGGATCAAAGCTGATTTTATATAATTGGTGGATAGCAATGCAGTGGTAGCAACTCAGAGGACAATATGTGACGGCTACTGAACTATTAACATCACAGAGGAAGCTCCTTGGGTGGGCTTCACTTGACCTAGTTTAAAGTAGACCCAGACATGCTTAAGAAAGGAGTTTTGTCTGTAGTACAGATGTCTCCTGCCAATGATGGGCAAACTTCCTTATCTTTAGGGAAGAGAGAATCGTATTGATACTGCTCTTTCTTGTCCACCTTGGCATGTTTGCTACTCCTGTCTCCACAGGAAGCAGCCTCAACAGCCTATGTGGGGAAGCATCAAAACTGGCTGAACTCTAAGCATAGTTCAAGAAGAATAGAATTATTACGGTACAAGAAGAGGCATTTAACCCAAACAGTATTTTACCTTTTTTCTAGGAGAAAATGCATGGAAGGTGGACAAAAAAGCACATGTATATATCTATCAATTGCAAGGCAAAAATAACTGTGCAGTAACTGAAGACTTCCTTCTGCTAATTTACTATGATGCAGCCCTACTCAAAGAATATACAATTAAAAATGGCTAATTAAAATTAAGCTGACTCTATAAAAAACTTACTTAGAGAACTCTTACTGCTGATTTGCTTAACCATTTTTATCTACTACTTTATTTGAAATTAATTCAATGCTAGTAAAAGCAGCTGTGTTTTATGGTTTTCCCCTATAAATCTTAAAATGTGTGAGATGTTTAGATGTAATAACACCAGAAAAATAAAGATAATAGAGTGCACACTTCGGTTCCAGTGTGGCTTCAGCAAAGTTTTGTTTGGAGTGCCCAGCTGCGTACACAGACGCAGTGGAATTTGGTTTGTGAGGAACCTACAAAAATTACACAAATAACTAGGATTTTTTAAATGAATAATACACAGACATGCACCTGCTTCAGAGGCTCCATAGATTGGTCTTCCAGCCAATAGAAAAGCCCCTTGGAATTCAATTACATGGCTGAAAAACGGAAAACAAAATCATGGCTATACGTTTAGAACTGATATGAAAAAAATGTTAACCAGTTCTTGGGCTGTGCTTTTCCTGAGGATTAGATTGTTTCGGTTTGTTTTACTTCCCTGTGGCTTATTGAATATTTATATTACTCTGTTCTATTCTTGCAGCTGGATCCTCTCCCAGAAGATATTGTGCACCAAATCCCCAATATGAATGCAATAGCTTCTTTAAAAAAGACCACTGAAATTCAAAGTATGTTTCTCAGTTTGGGTTGCTGGGTTTGGGGTATTTTTTATTATTAATTAATGTCATAGACATTAAACTATTGTTTCAGAGAAAAGAACAGGCAAGTGTTTTATGTGTAAACCAACATGATGTGTCTAGTGTGTGTATATATATTTATATATATGTTTTTATTTTTATTTCTTTGACATCTTTTTTGTTTCTGCTATGTATTTAGCCCTGAAAAACATAACCCACTGAAATTATTTAGAACTTTCCAATTTCTGAATATTCGCAAATCTTTCCATTCCAGAGCAGCTTGGATGAAATAGGTCTTTGTCAATGAGGGACAGGAAGAGACAGGTAAATTAGAGCTCAAACAAATTGTTTCTTCAGATTCTCTTTGTGCAGCCTTTACAAGTTACTCACTTTGAGATATACAGGAATTTGAGATAAAGTTTAAAACCTCAAAATGGGCACTGATCCAAGGAACAATTCTAACAAATACAGGATTTTATTCTCTTTCTGGTGCAGAGGGTGCTTGATTGCTTCACATGTGTGCCCTGAACCCAACTCTTTACTACCTGGCTACTTTAGGGCATCTGCTCTAGTGTCACTGAAAAATTTTCTCTTTGCCATCAGTTTCCTTAATCCAACTGAGCATACTTTGCTTAAACTCTCTAATCTCCTGCTCTTTGCCAGTTTACCAAGGCAGTGGGAGCTTTTTGACTTCTACTGTTTGCTGGCTCCTTAACAATAACAAATGGATGACAAATGTTTTGCCTCATGTTAGATGAATCACAAATAATTGGTTTTCATCTGTATAAAATAAATGCAGTTTGTAAAAAGGACACCATGCATTATCCATTGATGATTCAGGAATTATCAATCTGATTTTAGTTGTAAAGTGACAGTTAAAATTCATTGTAGGTATATAAGTCATCCTTCATATCCAGTAGTCACCCAGGTATGCAAATGCTCTAAGTAAAGCAGCTGTCTATGATAAATCCCAGTAAGTCATTTTTGCTGGCAGGTATGTCCTAGGGCAGCTTATCTTCCTTATCATTCACTGTTAATGATCTCGAAGGCATCAGCAAGATAAGGAAATTAATGTACTATACAAGATAGAGCAGATTTGCAAATTATAATAATGACAGAAAGCTGCACACAGGCCACAGACGTGAAGAAAGAATATGCAAATCTGTTTGAAATAAGACATGCATTTAAGGAAAATTGATTTGAAACAAAAAAGGGTGAATTGGGAAAAAAAATATACTGGCTCCAGAAAAGCACAGTGTCTTACTAGAAATACATACAAATGATGGCAGTCCAGAAAATAGGAATGGATTTAGGAACAAATATATAGAGTGTGTCTAGAAACATAATTCAGAACTCTGCAGAGTGGCTTAACTTTGCTTGTTCAGAGCAAGCTTAGGTTTGAGAAGAACTGGTACAGTCATGGCAGACCTGTGGGCTGTTCTTCTGAAACCTTATGTGGGGCTTAAGTCTCACAAACTCAGGGTTTGGAGTTATTTATACACAATATTCTGTCTTTTCTTGCCGCTATTACATAAAAAATTATGCATGCCTCATTTTGTCTGGAGAGAGATCAAGTACTAGAAAGCAATATGCTTGGATGACAGAAAGGAGCATTGAGGAAGCTCAGTGCAGCTTTATGGAGGAAGCATATTTAGACTGAATTAAGAGAAGCAAGTACACATTGAATATTATAGGGAGTTACACAGGCTGAAAAGCATTGGGGTGTGGGGTAGCACCTTGAGAGATACTGAGAAAGCCTGATTTGTTTGGATCATTGCTTGCATGTCTATTGAGTATGTATTTCTGTGATCCAACTTTGATAATGAATATTATCAATATTTTAGACAAAAAAGTCACTCCTCTGTGTTTGCTGCAAAAAAAAAAAAAAAAAAAAATGAAGATACAATAGTTCCTCAGACAATATGAGGAAAAAACTTTTTTTGTAACTAGAATGGAATTTGTATAAATGTCTTGTTTGTGACAGTGATCCAAAGCTCCTTTGGAAATGTAATACATTTGGAAGTAGTAGTTCCCACACCCATCTAATATGCTGTTTCTAAAATATCCTGTTGTCTAGCTTGAATACCACCCCCAAACTGTTTTTTTCAAGCAAGCCATGGGACAACATGTCCAAATCTATCTGTGAAAGGCAATTACAAATGCCTGTAACAGTGACAGAAACATTCACTTTTTTTATTTCCTGGTAATAATCAGTACTCCTACAAATCTTTGAGGTAGACTTAAGCACATTTTCATGCTGAAAGCGAAAGCATACCTAGAAGACTGATTTGGTTTCATTGTTTGTTCTTGCACATCATGATTGCTCTTCAAATTTTGTATGAATGAAACCAGCAGTGTGCTTCATTCTTTCCCCTGAGTTCCAGCAAGTTCTTCTCAATGAGTGTAACAGGACTGGTAGAATTTCACATTCCAGCATAGCACAGTAGAAATGGCATTTTCAGAGATGTGAGCAGTTTGAGGCAGATGCTTTTTGAGCTCATTTAATTGTCAATCCACAGCATACCTAGGGCTTCTAACAAAACCCCTTTGCAGCTGCAGGCTGACTGCCTCTCCATTCCACAAGGCTTTGCCTGCAAACCTTTTGGTTGAGCACGCGTGTGAGCTCTGTATGTTTTATGCACAACATATGAATGTTGTTCTTTCTAAAAAGAAGCTTGCAAAGCTGTTCTGCTTACCACATGTGTTTGTAAGGTACAGCTTTCTGATTTGAAAGAAAAATCTATCATTTCTTTTCCACAAGCATCTTTGCATGAGGTACCCACTGCTACCTGGTTGCTATTCCTAATTGAGACTGCTTTAAAATTTCCTCCCACAAACCACAAACACCCTGCCATGTATTCCTCTTCTCCAAGACCCTCCACTGCAGCATAGGTGCTGCCACCTGCTTCCTGGCCTGACTCTGCTCTCCCTCTTTATTGCTCAAACCCCTCTTATAATACAATTCTAAATGCAGGGAAATAAGGAAAATCACCGATCGCTTGGGAGCAGAGGGCAGTTAAATGGGCACAGGGAGCCCACTAATATGCCTGAATTGGCCTTGAGTTTTAGTGTTACAAGAAAATCAGGACTCAGGGGGCAGCTGGTGTGCGAGCTTGTGTGTGAATGAACAAATGTGATGTAGCAATCTTCACTGATGCTGTTTTATTGTTGCTGCAGGAGAGCAACACAGTGGTAGCTGGGTACTAATATTTTATTTTATGAATAAGAGCCCTTGAAAACTCCAGCAGTGAACATGGGCTCATTTCTTTTATAGGCAAGAGTGGGTATTATTCCCATGCCAACAGATTTGATTTTCTTGCACATCTGTTTCTGCAACAAAAACCCCACCCACTCTGCAAACATTTAGCTCATAAATTATAGGGTTTGAATTGGGTGTATATTGCAAGGACTGACTTTTGCACATATGATCTGTGAGAACATTGTGGAATGCTCATATAACTTTTTTGTTTGTTTTTAGTGTATTTTTTAATGAAGAGAGAATATGGTCTCTGAGCACAGTAATATTAAAAAATATTTTTGCCTTGTTTTTATAAAATTTGCCAGGCTCCAATCATTGAGCCTACTGTTATGTACATAACTTTCTAGCTGTGTCTTTTGTGCTTTTGGAGCAGAGCCAACCTCCTAACACTTAATCTCAACTTTTTAGGATACTTAATACACTTTACATTTTATCCCCAGAAGGTCCCCGTTATATAAAGATTCTGCTAACTACTCAAACGTGCACACTATTAGAGTTCAAAGAAATACGCTGGCCATGCTTGCTGGTTGTTCTCGCAGATTGACTTGGGCTTTCATCTTGCAATGATAGTTTTGAATAAAGACATTTTCAGGCTTTATTGACAGCTGCTTTCTCACTGGAGGAAAAAGTTCATCTTTTGAAAAGCCTGAAACTGTGTTGAGAGCTCTGTTACCAGAGAGGGAGTTTTCAGCAGCTTTTGCGCAGCACAGGCAGCACCACCGCTGGCCTGGCCTCCCAGCTGTCAAAGCCTCCAGCTACCCTCCGGATAAGCACCTCGAACTCAGCCTGCTGCCCAGCTGCCAAAATCCTCCTTTTAGCCCTCGGAAAAGTCCCCTACTTGATCCACTCTCTTTCACAGCTGTTGAAACCCTCTGTCTAATTCCCAGATAAGTACCCTGACCCAACCTCTGCAGCAGCTGCTGGAAGCTTCTTGCTAAACACTGAATAAGCTCTGGTTCAGAGCTCTCAGTCTTCCCAAAGCTCCTAATTTCCAGGTGTCATCCACCTGGCAATTAGTGAGTGCTCAGTGGATTACCGCACTGTAAAAAATGCATATGTAAATTCTTACTTGTTCACCTGGTTACTGCTAATCAACATCTGTTTCTTAACGGCACTGCAGCACCAGCCCATTTTATATGTTGACAATGAGTCACCTGCCATTATTGCTTGCATTGCTCCAGAACCTTCTAACTGTCTCTTCTGTTGCAGGCAGAGAGCTGAGAATCCTCATGCTTTTAATCCATTGCTGTGTTTTTACACAGCAAACCAGAAAGCTCTATTCCTTATGATATCTGGCAGCTTTCCAGCAACAGCCAGTTCATATATGAAAGTTTTAAATAAATTATTGTTCTAGTATACGCCCTGAGGTTGGAGGAGAAAGAACATCCAGGACTAACAAACCTGATTGTTCTGGCAACATCACTTCAGTCCGAGCTGGCATTTCTGACTTTTTTCCTTTTCAAGACAGTGCTGTGTGAGCACTTTGTACAACGATGTTCATTTTTCTAGTCCTATTTGCTGTATATGTGTCAACTGTCTGCCATATCAGAGCTTCTAGATATTAACCCTGCCCTGAACTCCCTTCACCTTGTGTAGATAAAGCCAATAGCCTGTCTGACAGTATGAGTTCATTAGCCTGTGTGTTACTCCTCCAGTTTACTACCTTCTGGGGAAGGGTGTGACACAGCCCTTGGAATGAAAGAACTTTCCAACTTGGCATTCTTAAGTTCAGAAATATACCTCTTCACTGCAGTCTGAAATTTCAACTGTACTGCTTACACCACAGTGATTTTAAATTATAATCACCCAGTGTTGAACTGAGTGATTACTATGCTTGTACCACCATGCTAGCTAAAATTCCCATAAATTATGATGTGTGTTTTCCTTAGGCAAGTACTGGAAGTCGGTGGAGCCATACTCTGTGCCAGTGGATTGTGCTCTGGCTGAGTCTCAGAAACGAGAGAGGGAGGAGACAGAAACGGTGTCTGCTATGGCCTCTCTTTCAGTGGATGTTGAGCAGTGTATCCCTCAGGAAGGCAGCAGGTAAGCATATGCAATTGTTGCAGAGAACAAAGCTCTCACTCCAGTCAAGTGAGATGAAGACAGCTAGACCAAGGGTCGTTTCAAAATTATCCACTAATTGAGGTACCTGGAATTTTTCATCCCTGGATTTCAGTTCTCTCACTTGGCCACTGGAAGCAGAGGTATTCTGTGCTAACATGTATTTTTTTGGCATGTGTAATTCTTTACTAAGGTTCATGATTGGTTCAAGAACTTTAGTTTCTCCCCATGTCTAATACTCTCTACTACATAAAAAGTGCAATATCCACAGGAGGAAAATAAACATGATCAAGTATAACCATATTATTCTCATTGGAAGCTATTCAAACCTGTTTTAATTTTCTAGGAAGGCATTTAACACATGATCAGATAAATTTAATAAGGATGGACTTAAATAATTATTAAATGATATTAGACAGACATTAAAAGTTGCTTCCCTGGAAGCAATGGAACGGTGCCAGTATAAAACTTAAAGCAATCCTGACCAGGATTAGAGCCAACATGTTCTGTGTACCAAAGTGAAGGTACACCAGCAAAGGATGAGAACGCTTTTTTTTTTTCCCAGCTTGTCAGCTGCTTTTTATGTTGGTGAAGTTTGCTTTCAGTTTCACAAATTGAGAAAATGATACAGTAACTGCTATTGTGTTTTTTGCCAGTTAGAGATGAGAAAAAATTGATAGCCACTGAATATTGTGTCATCTACAAAATAGTATTTCTTCAAAGAGTCATTAGGAATCAGAAAAGCCACTGCAGAAGTTCTTGGAGATTCCTATTTATTAGTTTTAAAGACAAACTTTCCTGGCCTTCACCAGTAGAGGAAGATCCAAAATGCAGTGGAACCATTCGGTTTCCATCTCACAGCGAAAACAGGGGAGGGAGGAGGAAAGGGGAAAAAAAGCCTTATAAGGAGACTCGTCAGCTCCCTGTGGGCTGTGGAGCCGAGCTGTGTAACAACAGGAGAGAAAGGAGGGAGCTGTGGGTAGGCAGAGTGGTGGTGGGAGTGGAGCCAGAAGGATCCATGGCTCCTGCATCGTGATAGCTACTTGTTTGATTCAGTTTTTGCCTCCTGTGTTGGCTCTTTTAATCAAATCTGAACTGATAGGCAGCCTGGGGAATAGTGCAGTGCTAAAAGCTACAGATGTGTTTGGCAGTGAACGTGTCTCAAAACAGTGGGAGCACTCATCTGTCAATGGCTTAACAGACATGGCTCAAAGGGACACACAGGGAGCAGAGCTAGCTAGTAAAGTTCGTAGTGTTTACATAATTACCTTTCCAATTGCAATTATATTTTAATATGTTATGGTTATTTTTGTGCTATTATTATTGCAAACAAATACATAAAAGCTTAAGGAAGAATCCAGTGACTACCAGAAGATGTATTTTAGATTTGTGGGAGTGCTAATTAGTGCTCAGCAAAGGAATGATGTAAGGTTTGTCATACAAATTTGTGACAGTTACGAGACACTACTGCTAGCCAAGGACAGAAAAGTGTGCATAGCTCTGAACTAGAAAGAATTTTAGTTAAAGTGTTGGAACTAATGCAGTTAAACAAAGCAAAATTTTAAATTGTCTGAAAAAGAGTATAGTTAATTTTGTGTATGTTTGTATTGCTCAGAATAACCAAGAATTGTGGGTTTTATGCATCTCCCCTCACTTAAAGCTACAGCCATTGAGAGCAACTGCTGATCCTACATGACTTTAACAAAATAACCCTTTGACTAACACTGCACTTAATTATTGTGTTTACTACCTACCTACTGATAACCTGTGACAGTTTCCACCCATTCTGAAAACCGAATTTCAGAGCAGAGCTGAGAGAAACAGAAAAAAACCTGATGCACTGAAATGTATTCATGTGGCTGCCAGATTCATTACACTTCATCAGTTCTGGACTCTTATAGGGACGAATCCATCATGATTAATTGTTCTGTGGAAAAATGGCTTCGCTTGAAATATCTTCTGTGGTGCTGCAGAGATTTTTCAGCAGCACAAAGAAGACCTATGCATGCAAGCACTCCTAAGCCTGTTTCCACATTTGTAACCCACAAAGAAGTCACCCAAAGCCAGACTGCCATCAGACAGTGACAAGACAACATAAGTGCTGTCCCACTGGGCCAAAATTGATAGTTAGGTTTTCTCAGGCTTTGGGACATCATTCTCTTTGTTTTCTTCCTACTGAATGTAAGGAGGAATATGGAATAAAAAACAGTCACCCTGAAGGTCTGATTTTGAGGGCCCTCTGAGCTGTGTGGAGAGCTGAGAAGACCCGGCTGCATTTTGAGCATGAATGAAGGTCCAGCAGGGGATCATAAATCCAGGGACTGATTCGACATTGCACACTCTGGTTTCATGCCAGTATAACTTCATTAATGTCAATAAAACATGCCATTAATTTCAAAGGCACATACCAACACAAACTACAGTAATGTAGTGATGAATCCAACTTCGCTTTTTCACATTTGTTATGCTTGTTGCAATTAAGGACCAAGTATGCAGTGCTCCTTCTCCAGCCCCTTTTTGTGACAAGCAACAGGGCTGCAGGGACGTGAGGAGCTGTCTGGGCTTTCAAGCCCTCTTGATAAGACCACCGTAGATTCACCTCTCCTCCCCACATGGTAGATGGGGGCCACCTCCTGAAGACCTGTTTAAAGTCTTTGCATTGAGTGTTTGTTTGGGAAAATTGGTTGTGACAGATAGGACAGCATCAGAGCAGAAAGCGCCGTGGCTGACAGGGCAGCCTGAACAGTTCCTTCATTATGCCAGGAGATTATTCACTTTCTCTTAATTCCCACCATGATCAGTCAAGCTGATAATTCTGGCCTGCGTCTCTAACCCTGTTTCACTGCATTAATGGTAGACATCCTGTTGACTTCAGCTTTGGATGGTCAGGCCTCCAGATGAAGAGAGCAGTAGCAAGAGTCTCTTTGTGGGAAACTCTTGCCAGTTATGTTGGAGGATATATTGGTGTTTGGAGTGAGATGACTCACTTTAAACTCAGATTTTGGGTAAAGTGGCTATTTTCCTGGCCAACTCATATCTGACTCATTTACCACCAATGAATAAAGGATAAGATGCTCCTGGCTAAGACCCATCTTAAGTATTTCTCTGTCTTTCTTCTCTCTTTCTTTCTTTTCTTCAAGTGACAGTGCCGATTATTTTTTATTTGATTTTTCTGCGGCAGGCTAAATGAAGAAAACCGTGAAAAGCTGCTATGTTTTTGGTGTTTTACTTTACTAAAGCACAACTCTGCATTTTAAGATCCAACTGAAACTTGATTATAGACTTCAGAAGAGAACAGATATAGAAAGAAAGAGTTTGTGGATAGGAAAGAAAACATGATGCTAACACAGATTTAAATACAGATACAATTAAAGGGACAGGCATGCCCTGTAAGATATTTCTAACTACCATAAAATTTGTGTGCTGATAACTGCTTATTCCTTATGTTATTACAGATTTAGATGATTAGAATTTTGCTTTGGCCAGACAATCCATTCAGAAATCATGCTATGAAAATATTCAGTACAGTGCTCTTCCTGATATATTGGAGCTTCTGTACATTTCTTCTTAAAATGGTAAAATAAAAGGGTGTGTAGGGAGATCTCTTGCACTTACTATTTTTACAGCAAACAGTAAATCTTGAGAATTACATTGATCAGAATTTGACTTAATGGCCCTCATTCATCTGAACATAGATTTTACTTAAATGGAAATGAAAACAAAGTGTAATATTTAGACATCATTCTTAGCATTACAGAGCTACCAATTGCAGTTTCAGTCACACTGCATTATGTTGCATACATTATATTATATACTAGAGCAACTGATTGAATCATGACGTACAGCTAGCCACCATCTAAGGTCACTTGCTATGTTTGTATATGAAGTCGTAAAGCTTGACTTAGCATTTCACTGTTTGGGTATCTACCTCAGCTGTGCTCAGCCTTATCTTTCCCACCATCCTCTCACCCACCAGTAGTGGGTGCGTAAGGAAGAGAACCAGGAGCAGAGAAGTTTTAGAACCAGCCTTGCCCTGGTGAGTTGGAAGATCTCAACAGCTGTATCTGACCCATCCTGTGTAAAAGCCTCCAGGATACCTGCCAGGCATTACTTTTTCAAAGCTCTTTTTGCTTACACCTTTGACACTCAGGTAGTGAATTCCACAGCCTCATCATGCATTGCACTTCTCTTTCTTTGCTCTAAACATATTAATGGATAAATTCACTGGGAACCCCATAGTTCTTGAATTGTGAGAAATAAAAGAAGCTCTTCTCTTACTCATAGTCTCTGCCACATTTCTGGTTTTAAACGGTTCAGCTCTCTCAAGACTCCATATTCCTCCTGGTATGAAAATAATTCCTATTTCTGATGATTCTTGCCCCCCTCTGTGCCTTTTGTAGTTTTCTCTGAGAAGGAGTAAGAACTGCATGGAAGACTCCAGGTGCTGGGCACAACATGGATTTACACAGTAGTTTAATGTTGGGGAATTTTTCTTTCTGTTGCTCTCTGCTCTTCTACCATTAACTCCAAGCTCTCAGTCACAGCCATCACTGTGTATAAACAGTGACAGCTGTCCTCCCCCATGTTTTGTGTATTGTGTGTTAGTTTGTCTTTGTTTACCTTCTTTTCCACTCAGAAATGGTGTTATGGGGCTTAGAACTGACTAGTATCTGTAATTTGTCATCAGCAAACGTCACCTAAATCTGCTGGTAGTCTGACAAGTCTTTTTGCGACACTCTGGAGAATCCTCCCGTGGTGAAAATTCACCAACACTATTATCCGTTTCTTACTTCTGATGGATTGTTAATCTATAAGAAGACATTCTCTCATAACCTAAGTTCCTCAAAGCATTTGGATAAAATTGTTGGAAGTCTTTCTTTGTACAGAGGTATCACTTGATACCTTTTCCTTTATTTCCTTCAGAAACTTCTAATAAATTTGTAAGACTTGATTTCTCTGTAAGTGTTGAGATGTAACTCTTACACAAATTACTATTATCTAAATGCTTGCTAACTTTATCACTGGTTATAGTTGCTATCAATTTTCACATACAGGCTTACTGTATCTCCTGTAGTTTCCAAAAGGGGAATTGCATTTCTTACCTTCTCTGCCTCTGGTGTGAATGCTGAGTTAAGCAGTAAAATATGCTCAAGAATTATTTCTTCAGCAACGTCATAATTGCATTCTCCTGGAACTCAGTGGCCAAATATTATCTCCTCCTAGCAATTTGGCGATGTTGTATATATCAGTTTGTTCTAGTGCTGATTCAGTTTCAGATAGTTCATCTGCAAATAATAAAATCTCCCTGACACTTCCCTAGTGAATACAGATATAAATAGTTCATTTTGCTTTTGCGATCTACCTTCCTTGATGCTCCTTTTATGCTTTGATCATTTCTTCTGATGTATTTGAAAGATCTTTTTATTACTAGTTTTTATGCCTTTAACATGTTGCTCTTCATACTGTCCTTTTTTGGGGAGCTGCATTTAACTTACAAGAATTTATGCTTTATTTAATTTGCCGTATTTGTATATTACTTCCTCTTTTGAGAGTATACATGTAGTTACGTTACTCTGCTCTTGAACTATGATGGCTTTTACTTTTAGTTCCTTTTTCTTTGATCCATGCAAAGACCATTTTTACTAGGATATACACTTATTCAGGATCTCTTATATGATGTCTTTAGACACTCCAAAGCATCTCCATGGTATAGAAATTTACCTCTTTTTTCCTAGCTCTCTGCTACCAGAGTATTACTTTTCAATTACAATGATCTTCCCTGAGACAGCTGAGTTAAATTAGGAACAGACTATGGCATAAAACAGCCATACCATGCCAGAAAATCTATCTTCTGTTCAGCAGTTTTTGTGACTTGGAAACATACCTTGAATTTTTATTTTTATGTGTGTGATGATGCAGCTATGAGGAATCTCTGTAGTCCTAATTTAAAAAATAAAGTAAGAGAAACATTTGCCTTTTTGGATGATGTACAGGGGTTTTCTATATTCTTAAATATTAACTTTTTTTTAAGTGTATATATGAACTATTTTAAATAATATTCTCCTAAAAAATGTGATTGCCATTTATTCTCAACTGCCACAGAACAATACTTGGGATGTCACATGTTTTGCCAGATGTTATCCATATGGTAGGATTTTTGCCTCATCTATTTATTTTGTTTTAATTTTTAAATAGAATCATTTTGTTCAGCACTAACTGCAAAGAGACTATTTCATTCTGCCATAGTGTGAATTGCACATAGAGAGAGCTACAGGTGAGCACTCTATCCAGCACAGCAAAATAAGCAGACGGAATGCAAGAGGGCTCTGGTCCTAGGAACTTGCAGTTTAAATGAGACACAGTTAAGCCTTAATGAAAAATCACTATTGTGGTTCTACAATCATTGTAGTCCTAATCGGTGTTTTTCTGGATCTATGGCCCACACAGAATCAGACTGGGTCAGACCCAACCTTGCAGCTGCATCTCTGAGGAACAAGACAAAGCATACAATATACAGTGGGATTTTTCACCCGTTTTATGTCTTTATGCCAACTTCTTATTGGCTATAGGAAGACCGACTGAACTGATGTAACTAACAGTGATGTAATTGAGATAACATAGATTTGACCTGTCAGTCTCTGCGCCACTTTTTTTTTTTTTGAGAACTTTTGATTTTAGCAGAATGAGTACATATTAGTTCACTACTCAGTGTTATGTGACTACAGTGTTTTACTCTCTGTACTAAGTTCCGTAAAACTATTGGCTCTCACACAAAACTCTGGCCTAAGCTGTTATCCCATAAAAATGTATGCTTTTAATGATAAGCCACTGGATAGATCCAGTGACTTCTCTGACACTGATAAAAGGAAGTTAAAGCACTCGCATAAGTCTTCAAAAGGAGACTAGAGGATACTGTGAGAGCAACCATGCTGAGAGACAACAGCTGGATTCACCAGGGCACCCTAACCTCTGCTCCATTTCCAAAAAGGGCCTTGCATCTGGCACTTGCATTTAAAAATTTGTGTTAGTGCTTAGGCTCTGGCTGACGCAGATATCGGCGTACTGTTAGAATACATTGGTATATATTGGAATATAGCACTCGAGGTCAGTTCTGGCACTCAGAAACACCCTCATCAGTGAAAAATTGCCCAGAACTAAAACCCTGAAGAAGATTATCTCTCAGCTGTACGATGGTCATGACAATGTCATTCCCAGAAGCCAAATATATGTGAACAGACTGTTGCATGTATCACTTCCCCAGCTTCTTGTAAGTAACCCAAATTCCCACTTTCAATTCCAGATTTCCAGAGCTCCCCTCTTTGCTGCTCTGCCAATCTCCAATTGAAATCTATTGACAACTACTTCTTCTCATTCATTCACCTACCCACAGCAGAACCTAAAAACCAAGCTGTAATCTGCTTTCAAATTATTCTTTTCCCAGACAACCCCATAAATCCTGGATTTTTAACAAGGGTTTGTTGCACTTTTTTGTTATGCCAGAGGACATGCAAAAGCAGCAGGAGAAAGTGGAAGTGTGTGGTCAGCCCAACAGCAACATGCAGCATTAGGATGAATTCTCCACATGGTGCATGATCCTTTATCACACCTGAGGACGTCAGCAGAGGGCTGGGCTCTATCCCAGCCTGGCTGCTACTGTGCGGTCTTTGCTGCAAGCCAGAACAATGCAAGGGAGGGGGGAAAGAGAAGACAGTGATGATCTCAGTAATTTTTGAAAGACGTCTTATTAAACATTTTTATGCATATCTTGGTAAGATCACCAGGCTTTTATTGCCTGTGTAAAGGGAGCTCTGTCCTGCTGCACCTGAACGTGGGCAGTGAAGTGCTCCAACCACAGCACTGCCCCATCTGAAGTGGCCTCTGCTGCAGCTTTGCCTCAAATCCTGCTTCATCTTGCCTCTCAGAAATGAGGGAGCTGCAGTGGTTACTGTATGTAGGAAACATTCTCCACCGTGTGGTGAGGAACAAAAGATTTGAGATTTATAGATTAATAATCTTTAGGGTCAGAAACCCTTTGGAAAGTCATTAGGCTGAAAAACATCTTCTTTTTCATATATCATTCATCTGATATATTTTTCAACATGCTAGCTGTGGTCATTCCAAATCACAAAGGAATAACCTGTATAAAATAATTTAAAGACATACTGCTGAATTTTTCATTGGGAAGGACTTTAATAAACTCCAGATTCATTTAAAATTCTCTGGCTTCCTTGCTGAATAAACTACCAAAGCCCATGCAAGCACCCGTTAATTACTTTTTTTTTTCCATGGGATCTCATGAGTTTGTACTTTCTGAGGGATGTTTTACAGAAGCCAGTTATTTTACTGGCTTGCAAGATTTAACTGGTAAACCTCTCTTTTATTTATTAATTTGCATTTACTTCTTGCTCTCCCCTCATTTCAAAATTGCTTGAAGTGACTATTTTAAGGAGGTTTTTGAGCTCATTTGTAACATGGTATTCTGCCACACTGAGGTGGAAAATGGTTTATGTCCAAATTCTTATGCCCTTCAATAGTGAAGTCTCACTGTGACCTCAGAAGCTTCCCATTTTATAATTGCTAGCATAATCCTCAGGTACCGTAGCTTGTTGATGCAAGGAATTATGACACTTTACACCAGCTCAACATATGTCCCCACTGGTTTTTTTACTGGATGTCATCTTGCCTAAACTGGATATTTCCCAGAGGCTTTCAAATAATAGATAAACATATAGTCTGATTTTGTATTATTAATAGACACCTTCTATATGACCGTGATCTGCTGACCATCAGAATTTGGTCTCAGAAGTTGCAGGCAGGCAATGCATTTGTGGAAGCACAGAATCAAAAATCAGAGGACTGAGGAAGAACCCCAGAAAAAACACTGCTAACTACTTGGCTACTAGGGAATTATTCTGCATTAATGGTGTGGGTGAAAAATGGTGTGAAAAAGTAAATGCATGTATTTTTACTTGCAAAAGCTTGTAAAATAAAAGTATCACAGCTTTTTTTTCATGAAATTATTTGACTCGCTTGACACAAAGCATGTACAGTTTTGGACAAAAAGTTATAAAATATTCTGACATATTTTAATATAAACAGGAACATTTTCAGTGATTGCTTGGATCTAAAATGTTTTTCCACTTGACATTTGTTTATACTTCCTAGGAAAGAAACTCTATTTATGGATAACTGAATAACACAAATAAACATCAGAGAGAGCTGAAAAATCAGCTTTGATTATGCATGAAAATCTACAATGTCATTGTGTACTCTTGTGCCGTATTCTGATTGCCTGTTTATTTTTACAGAGCTGCTGGCGAGCCCATGGAAGAAGAGCCAGCCCTGTGAAGTGCCAAGTCATTCCTGATATTTCCTGTGGGTGACATCATTGTGTATCCCCCCAAAGCACCCTCAGACATGTCTTGTCTGCTGCTTGGGTGGCACAGATCAGATGGAACATAAACACTGGGCACAAAACTCTGAATAGCAGCTTCACTTGTTCTTTGGATGGACTTGAAAGGGCCCTAAAGATTCCTTAAATGTAACCGCTACAATTCTAGAGTTACAGTAAAACGGGCTTGGGAGAAGGAGCCTAGAGCATGCTTTTTATATGCTGTGTGACCCACTCAGCAACATAAATTGTGAAATAGAGTATTATGAAATTCTACATGATAAATTATAGATACAAGAGTTGCAACAGCCAGGAAAGTACTTGATAAACTCCATGAATCACTTTCTGACACTTTTTACTGGGTAATTTTTTTCATACTGTGTTAAATTATTAATAGAATTTGTTTCCTTTGCTCTGTGTAATGAAAAAAAGAAAAAAAAAACCCTTTATGTGACATTTTTTAACCCCCTGTAATGAGTTCTTAGCTGAATAAGTGAAAGGTGTGTAAATTACAATGAGGGATTTTAGCTAAAGGGAAAACACTTAGTATTGTACTATAAATCCCCTGAAGTACTGTGCTTGGTGGGGCTTTATTTTCTTTTCCCTTTTCCCAGCCATCACTCCCCATTTCATGTGATCTTTTCTATTGTAAAAACACATTCACGATTCTCTAAAACAAGCGATCTTCTGCCTTTAAAAAAAAAGTGCTGTACCCTCCGTAGTTGACAGTAGCTCTCACCAGATGTGCAGCAGAGATCAAGTAGTCTTTGAAAAATGGATGGCTTTTGAAATGTGTTTTTAGTTTGTTCCGAAATGTTTCTGCGTTCTGACTCTAAGAGCAGTGATCTTCAGTGACTGCGTGCAGCTCATTTCTGAAGCTCAGGTGTTTCTCTGGAGGTTGTGTTGGGGGTGTTATTTTACAGGTCATCATGTGCATACAAACTGATTCTTTTATGTAGTCCTGCACCAAGAGAACTGATGTTGCTTAAGAAGCTTCAAAGGGTTTAAGCTTTATTTTAGATCCCCAAAGTGCAGCAAGATCTCCCTGCAACGTGACTTTAGCGGTTTAATTTCATGTTTGAGAACGTAACATAGAGTTGTGCCTTTCGCTGATAATGAACGCTTAAACTGTTACACGTGTTGCCTTACTGTCACAGAAAGAGATAGAGCATGTATGTAAGACTACTTCAAATGAACAAAACTCTGCTACAGCAACTTTTATTTTGTTTACAACTTTCTTGCCTCATGAACCCTGGGAGATACCTTGAAGTATTCGGCTTGCAGCATTTGATAGCTTGCTCAGCTTTTAAAGCAAGTGATGTTCATTTTATATATTTTCCAAACTCAAAAGATATATTAAAGCCATAAGTGAAGACTGTCATGCTTTTTATTCTGAAATCTGAAAGGAACCTTAATTAAAACAAGATTTTGGGGAAGGCCATGATATGAAAGATATGGAACAATATGGTTTGAGTTATAGCCAGACTCAAACCTGTAAATCAAAGATGAAAGATTTCACTCAAATAGAATTATATAATTCTCTTTTGTTATGCAGTCAGACTATATCTTTCATGCATTTGGGTTTGTTTACGATTAGCATTTTAATTTTAAAGACTTTTATTACTTATACAAAAGCTCTCTGCTGCAAGTTAGAAATCTGAGGCATGCTTTGAAAAGGGAAATCTAAAAAAGGAATGTCATTTCCTATAATGTGAAGTAAACTTTTATTCTGAAAGGCTTACTCTAAAATGGATGTATGCCCCTCAGAAAGTGAAAAAAAAATTCTACCCCCCATTTACAAGCCAAAATCATGCTCATTTTAGTAATGCAAAGGGTCCCAGCAGGCTAAATTAACTCCTGGTGTAAGCGACCTTGCTTGACTTTGGGCTGTTCTGAAGGGGTTGTTCACGTGACTACAGCAATCAAGGAGTTCATCCTGTGTTTTCAGCAGACTTGTGATGGCAAACTTGCTTGCCGTTGACTGCAATTTTCTTGTGGTCATCAAAGAAGTTTCCCTTCAAGGAAACTAAGGACCATAGCTGATGAGTTGAGTCATTTGTAGAGCTTTTCACATTTGGAAATAATGGCTGCAAAATGGTAAGATCAGTTTAAAATTAACCCACAAATGCAGAATCTGCTTGTGTCCTTAGCTTGCATGCAGTTGAATTTGAATTGCAGCCTGAAATGTAAGTTACAAACTTTACCAATTCTGGGGTGGAAATCAGCTAAAGCTGTCCTTTGTAACTGAAAATGCTTTTAAAATGCCAGAATAATTTAAATTAAACCATATGATAAACTCACACTTATGCATTTGTACAGGCATACTCCCAGACAGACATTTAGACATGCTATTGGATAAAGTTAGGATCATTTGGATTAGCAAATGTGCAAATAAATTGCACACAGATTGTGTCCAGAACTCTGTTCTCACTGAAGTCAATGGCAAAATCCTCTTTGATTTCAATGGGAGATGGATCAGGCCCTGCTTTTTTTTTTTTTCTTTTACGTCCAGAACACCATTACTTTTTGATTATGTCATTACAAGGCACCGTACAGCCCTCTGGGAAATGGTTGAGGCTTATGGTGAATATCAACACTTCCTTCAAAGCAGACCTGGGCTTTCTGAGAGGGCAGTTTCACTTGCTGCTGTTTTCTTCTCACAGTATTTTTTTATTACCATCAATAGCTCCCCATGGATTACAGTTAAAATGTCTCTCAGCAATTTTAGACATACTTCCAGGGAAATGTTCACACAGACACTCTTAAAAATGCCCAATTTTAGCTGGATTCAACAACAAATTCCAACAAGTTCAGAAAGATGCACATATTGCGTGTTTCTCTGCTTCTAATGTCCAAACTCAGAGGCTTAGGAGCTGTTTTTGAAGAGGTGTAACAGTTTCATGTCTCCCATGGACCTCAGCTTGGGCTAGTGAGATTGACACCTATGAAAATTAAGTACCAGATATTTCAAGCTGTCTGCCAAAATATCTACATCTGAGCTTAGATTACTTCTAAAAATTAGCTGAAGTGGATAAGCAAGGTGGAGGGGTGGGGTGGAGTGGTAAGTGGTGGTTTCTGTGAGTGATTCCATGGAGAAGGTGAAGCTGAGGAGGTGGCAGAGAACCCTCTGAGCCAGGGTGACCCTCTGCCTGGTGCTGGTGGCACAGGGGCTGCAGGCAAGTGAGGGCACATCCCACAGCACTCTCATCACAGGCTGCCATTGCCTTTGAAGGGAATCCTTGCCTTGCAGGGGAGGAGTGCAGAAATTTGCACTCTGCCTCTGCATTAAGGTGTCCTTAAGCCACTAACTTCCAGAGTAAGAGATGCCTCAGCAGCAGGTACCACTAACGTGCTTGCTCCAGTTCATATTCTTCCCTAGTGTTAAGGACTAGACATTAAGCTCAGTGGGGTTTTTCTTGTATTCTTAGGTCCTTACATTTGTAGTAGAAACTGAAAACTAAAAATAAAAATTACTCAGAATATCAAGAAACTAATTATTTTTATCCAGCTTAATACTTTTACCTGGGCTGGAATGGGAACAATATGAATAGTAGATCTCAGAACTCCTAAAACCTGAGAGTGTCTTGCACTTCATTTTTGAACTCTGTGTGCAGGAACTCTGTATGTGCTCATTTGGCTTTTATATAATCTGCAGCAACGAAGGGCTTGATTATATGATCCTTTTTCAGGCAAAATTCCTAGTGAATAATCAAAGTTCATGGGAATTTTGCCAGCACAAAGATGACAGAATTAGTCCCTTTTTCAATTATGTGCTTTCCCAATTTTACTTTCAGTGAAAATGAAGTAACTAGTGCCAGGCAAGTGAATCTGAGGAAAATAGAATCGTTAAGCTATCTTAAATCAACGTCATAAAAGAAAAAGAAAATAGAAACAACTGTTATGCAAACAAAGATGGCTGTTCCTTTACTTTGTTAAAAAAGTCAACAACATGCTGCCAGCTGAATGAAAGTGGCAAAATGAATCCCTCTCTAGAGTATGTCGTATTTGAGCTGGTGTCTTATCTAAGTGCAGCCTCCCTAAAAAGCTGAGAGTCATAACCAGAGATGAAATATTAGAAAGGTTTTGCTGCAGCCAACACCAGAGGTCCTGTAGAGAACAAGAATGTAGAGACTGACTAATTTGTGTAGACAGACAGCAGGACACTTTCAGGGCAATGTGTCTGGGACAAAGAATTAGAGGGAACTTTTCCAAAATCACTGATGAGTGTGAGGCAACTAACTTTTATTAGCTTGCAGGGGCAAGGAGGTTACCAGTGAGTATTTATTCTTTGGGAAAAGCACCTTCTGTCCCACAAGCATGCCCCACATGCATGTGGACATGAACCTTGCTGTGCAATTTTTTTGTCCTAAGCAGGAACAGCCAAGTGTGCTGCCCTGACATGTATGCTGTGCATTTACCCAAAAAGTTATCAGCCCCCAGCAGATATTTCATAACAAGACTGATAGGGGAGATTTTTGTAATATATTTGTTTTCCAACAGTGGCCTTTCCAGAAGTGTAGCAGTGCATGGTTGTTTTCTTTTAAAAGGTCACAATAGATCTAGCTTTGTGAACTATTGTGCTTTTTTTTTTTTTTTTACAGACTCCATATGGAAGTAAAACAGAATATGTACATGGGGGGGAACCTGCTGGGAAAGAATTTATCTTAAATCAAGCTTCTGCTACCTGCTTTTCATCCTGGATTTGGAGGAGTTTGGGTTCTTAATTATCGTTTAAGCTTTTACTTTGTCATGTCCCTTGCTTTGGTTTTTTTACCTATAATTGAATTCACCCTTCTAGCACACAGAAAAACATCAAAAAAAGTCTGTGTTTTCTGACAGATGCCCCTGCCCTTGGTGTGAGAATGAGAATAGCTTATCTTTATCACTTCTAGCAGCAATTAAAAGCTTCATTTTTGTGTCAGATCCAAACTGGAGTGGTATTTTATGAGTACGATTTAGCTGGCTGTCTGCTGATTGTTAAAAAAAAGAAATTGTGAAACTCGCATTCCTCTCTAACCTCAAAAGGGACCCATTTTGATTTTAACAATGTAATATTTTCACTTGATCCAAAAGGTTTTTGTCCCATGACATCTTGTTACTAGCTCAGTTTTATTCTCCAGCAAATAACACAGCACAGAGAGCGAAGACCAAAAAGGACATTCCAGCGACTATTAATTATATCTCTTCTGCACAATCCTTCATTCTGCTCTAGTGTCATGTTTTGTGATTCAGCATATTAGAAGAGTTTATAGCAAAATATAAATTGTTCTGCGCCATCAAATATACTGGTTTTCGGTTGCTAATTAGCACGCAGTGAGCTGGGCTGTAATTTATAAGGAAGACATGCTCCTGAGTGGATGGTCTGAAGGCAAGTGATGCATGAAACCAGTGGCACTGGTACTGTGCAGTGAGAGTGATTTTGTGCTAAGGTCTCCACATGTTATCCCCTTCCTGATGGTACGCCTGTGTGGCTGGGGGCACATTTGCAATAGTGGAGCCGTAGGATGCCCTGATTCAAAGACCACTGAAGTCCCTTCGCTAACGGGCTTTCAGTAAGATCTGGGAGGCAGCTAGAGAAGAAACCTTAACTTTCTGCTCAGCCACACACAAACTATAAAAAAAGCACAGATGCAGATCTGAACTTGGCCACACGTCTCTGTTTCTGATATGAAATGCCAGTTCTGCTTCTAGAAAAGTCTGTCTGAAAGACCATTGACACCAGTGGATATATTCTATTGACTTCAGCAGGGCTTCAGGAGGGTGTATGGGTCGTGTGTTACAGGAACAGGTTCATATTCATGTCTCTTGCTGCTTAGTTTACTGTTATTTTAAATTTCCTGATTGGCTTAATATTCCAAGTTAGGATGCAGTAGGAAAGCATAAAGCAATATCTGGTGAAGTCATAACTAAAGCTTTCAAAGTAAACTTAATTGCTGTGGGTTTTTACAACACTAACTTTTTGGTCTAGGGATGCACAGCTGAAATGTCTAATTTTTTCTTGGAAAATTGTTGTTGTTATCTGTTTCTATGATAAAAAACAGTCCTTTTGCTCAGAGCACTAAAAGTTTATCTGCAGTTTGTCTTTCCAGGCAGATCAGAATCTAAAGGATAAAGCATCAGTGGGACTGGCCCAAAGGGCAAAGTTTTTAAAGGTCAATAGTAATATTTCCATAAGAGTAAAAGGAACCTGTGGATTATTGTTATTATTCCTGATACATTTTTGTATCTGAAAGCATCCAATGAGTAACGTTAAGTAATATTGTGCTCCCAAACTTTGTTGATTATAGATATATAGCACTGGATTGGCGTAAAATAGTCTTCAACCAAGTTGTTAAAATCCCTTTTGTTTT